CGAGAGAGCGAGAGAGCAAGAGAGAGAGAGAGAGAGAGAGAGAGAGAGAGAGAGAGAGAGAGAGAGATAGTACCGCCACGAACATATTTATACACATATCACATTTATATCCATCCACAACACATATATACACATATCTACATGCATGTAATTATTTTGTTTAATGTTAAATTTTATATTAAATAATTTATATACAGCATATAATCGTTGCATAATTACAAATAAATAAATGCTAATGTAACCGACGCGCGATCGATTGTGATTTGTCGTCTGTTTGTCGGTAGTTTCCACGGCGACCGCATGCGCGAGATCGTCGCTGTCGTACACACACTCCAGCAGCATGAGGTGATGCGCAGAAACCCGTACCTCCGTCACCAGTTCGCCGAGCTGCTGCTGGCGCTCCTCCCGCACCTAAGCAGGTACGCACGCTCTCTTGTTACGGCTCGCCGGTGTCGGGGCGGCGAACGCGACACAGCTGCGGACGCTCTCTTGTTACAGTGCGGGGTAATCGTTTTAGGTTGGCAGACGTGTCGTGGATGGCAGTGTTCTCTTGTTATAGTATGACGTTCTCTTGTTTTCGGCTGTAGAGCGCGACAGCGGCAGTGTCGTTGCCTCGTTATGTATAGATAGTATTCTTATATCTGATAACGTTTTTTTTATAATTTCTTTATTTCCAGAAGATATGTTATAAACATGTTATAGCCAATACAATACATACTTGTACATATATATATAATTTGATGATATACACAATAAATTTATACTTAACTTGCATGATTACTGATCACGTTTTTTACTACTGATCACATAATTTCCTTTCAGGGTTGGAGTAAGTGCTGCGACCTGGTGTCAGTATTTAGAGATGCTGTCCATCTTCCTGACAAAACCTGGTGCAAAGGCAGTAAAAGTGCCGGAAGCGGAGGATGAGGAAGGGGAGGAGGCGGAGAAAGAGAAAGAGAGCGAGGAAACGTAAGTTCACCCAAACTCTCATTTGGCATGCTCAATATCCCCTTCCCATTCCTTCCAATTCCAATTCTTACATCTGTTTTCAGGTTACGATTAAACTAAGCAAGCATACTAAGACAGACTACGCATCTTGCGAGTTCCAACTTTGTTTCTGCAATTCTGAGAGCATGGCTATAGCGCTTTCTCGTAGCATTTAATTGATATAACAAATGAAGCTTGTAGAGCCATCGCTTGGCTTTTTGTTTATTTAACATGTTTACATAATTTGAATTTTCTTGCACTCAGTTTGGAAATTGCCGAGGTTAGACTGACGCTCACGCAGGTAGTGGGTCTGCTGTGTCAGCAAGTTTGCATAAGCGGTACCAGACTAAGTTTGCTGAGCAAACTGCAGCCGCCATCACCGAAGGTAAGGAATTTGTTATCCTTTCCCACAATCAGCACATCCATCCATCCATCCATCCATCCATCCATCCATCCATCCATCCATCTATCCATCCATCCATCCATCCATCCATCCATCCATTCATCCATCCATCCATCCATCCATCCATCCATCCATCCATCCATCCATCCATCCATCCATCCATCC